GATAATCGATAAACCAAACTCATTTAAGTTGCAGACTGAACACGCCCATTACAAAATACTTGAGATATGCCCATTCCTTGTACTTTCAATTGAATCTAGACTAAGACTTGTGCTTTCACCGTTTCATACTTTATATTCAATATCAATTCCACTGCTAGTTGTCACACAATCAATATTTTCATTCTTCTTAGGTTGGGGGTCCAATCATTTATGTCATTGCCTTGAAAAGTAGCAAAATATTGGGAAAATCAACAGAACGACACAAGTGCCGTTCCAATACACAAGTGTCGTTCTGCCAATAAATACGATTTTGAAGAGCCGCGACCCATCCTAGCCATGATATCGATAAACGAAACTCATTTAAGTTGTAGGCCGAACACGCCTCTTGCAAAATACTTGAGATATGACTATTCCTTATACTTTCAACCGAATCTAGACTAAGACTTGTGCTTTCACCGTTTCATACCTTATATTCTATATAAGTTCCACCGCTAGTTGTCACACAATCAACATTTTCATCCTTCTTATGTTGGGGGTCCAATCCTCGATGTCCTTGTCTTGAAAATAGCAAAATATTGGAAAAATCAACAGAACGACACAAGTATCGTTTAACGACACGTGTCGTTTTGCCACTAAAATTGATTTTGAAGAGCTGCGACTCGTCCGAACCACGATAATCGATAAATTGAACCCATTTAAGTTGCAGGCTCAACACGCCGCTTACAAAATTCTTGAGATATGCCCATTAATTATACTTTCAAACGAATCTAGACTAAGACTTGTGTTTCACCGTTTCATACCTTATATTCTATATCAATTCCACAATTTGTTGTTACACAATCAACATTTTCGTCCTTCTTAGGTTGGGGGTCCAATCCCTGATGTTCTTGCCTTGAAAAATAGCAAACTATTGGAAAAATCAACAGAACGACACATGTGTCGTTTAACGACACATGTGTCGTTCTGCCACTAAAATCAATTTTGAAGAGTCGCGACCCATCCGAACTATGATAATCGATAAACTTAACCCATTTAAGTTGTCGGCTCAACACACCGCTTACAAAATTCTGTATTTATGTTCATAAATTAATCAAGAGGAAAAAAATGACACAACTGCCGTTTCGGTTTTGAAAATTGCTCAAGTGTTGTTCTGTCTCTAAACACGACTATGAAGAGCCGCGACCTATCCGAACCACGATAATGATAAGCTGAACTCATTTAAGTTGCAATCTGAACACGCCGCTTACAATATTCGAGATTTATGCTCATTACTTAATCAAGAGGAAAAAGAAAACGACACAACTGTCGTTACTGTTTTGAAAACGGCACAAGTCGACACAACTGTCGTTA